CCTCCGCCTCCCGGGTTCAGGCAATTCTCCTGCCCCAGCCTCCTGAGTAGCTGGGATTACAGGCACGCGTCACCATGCCCAGCTAATTTTTTGTATTTTTAGTAGAGACGGGGTTTCACCGTGTTGACCAGGATGGTCTCGATCTCTTGACCTCGTGATCCACGTGGCCTCGTGAGGCCCGCCTCGGCCTCCCAAAGTGCTGGGATTACAGGCTTGAGCCACCGCGCCCGGCCTTGTTGTTTTGTTTTTGTGGGTTTTTTTCAGGCGAAGTTTCGTTCTTGTCGCCCAGGCTGGAATGCAATGGCATAATCTTGGCTCATTGCAACCTCTGCCACCTGAGTTCAATTGATTTTCCTGCCTCAGCCTCCCGAGTACCTGAGATTACAGTCACGTGTCACCACGCCTGGCTAATTTTTGTATTTTTATTAGAGACGGTGTTTCACCATGTCAGCCAGCCTGGTCTCGAACTCCTGATCTCAGGTGATCCTCCCACCTTGGCCTCCAAAAGTGCTAGGATTACAGGCGTGAGCCATCGTGCCCAGCCAGGGTTTTTTTGTTTCTGGTTTTGGCTTCCTCACCTGGCCCCAACACCTACATCTCTATCTGTAAGCCTACCTGTATCTTTACCTTAACAACATTCTTACCTATATTCTCACCTATTTCTTCGCAACTGCATCCTCTTCAGTGACTGTATTTTCTCTGCGTCCTCATCTGAGTCTTCACCTGCATCTTTACCTGCATGCTTTTCTAGATATTTTCTTGTGTTCTTGCCAGCATTCTCACCTACATTCTCACCTGTAGATTTATCTGTCTTCTTACCGTAACCACCCAGTGGGTTCGCTTTGTCCACAGCCGAGACAGAGCCGATTTATCAAACAGGGGGATTGCAAGGGAGAAAGGGCAATTCACGCAGAGCTGGCTGTGCGGGAGGCCAGAGTTTTATTATTACTCAAATCAGTCTTCCCAAGCATTTGGGGATCAGAGTTTTTAAAGATAGTTTGGTGGGCCGGATGCAGTGGCTCATGCCTGTAATCCCAACACTTTGGGAGGCCAAGGCAGGTGGATCACAAGGTCAGGAGTTTGAGACCAGCCTGACCAATATGGTGAAATCCCATCTCTACTAAAAAAATACAAAAATTAGCCGGGCGTGTTGGTGGGCTCCTGTAGTCCCAGCTACTCGGGAGGCTGAGGCAGGAGAATGGCTTGAACCCAGGAGGCGGATGTTGGAGGGAGCCAAGATCGTGCCACTGCACTCCAGTCTGGGTGACAGAGCGAGACTTTGTCTCAAAAAATAATAATAATTTGAAAAAAAAAAAAAGGTTAGAAGCAAGATGGAGTCAATTAGGTCTGATTTCTTTCACCGTCATAATTTCCTCAGTTATGATTTTGCAAAAATTCGTTACCTGCCCCTCCTTCTGCATCTATCCCTGTAGCTTCACCAACACCATCAACCCGCAGTCCTGCTCTGCCCTCCCACCTGCATCCCCACCTGTCCCCCTTCGCATCCCACCTCCCTCCTCCAGCCTCACCTCACTCTCCCAGACCCCGTGTCTAGATGGGCCTGAGCGAGGAGTCAATGCATCAGGTTGAGCTGTGTCTGGTAACTGTACACGAGAGGGGACAGTGGCGGGGGTGGGGGCTGGCCACCAGGGCAGCATTTCCGGCTGGAGCTCCAGGGAAGGGAAGACGTGAGTCAGCAGGCAGGGAGGGAGTGTGGGGCTTTGTGGTCACAGCATCACCAGCACTGTGTGGGGAGCCGCAGCCTTGGGTGTGGGGAGTGGGGACACATTTGCTGAGGGGAACTGGAGCCCCAAGCACCTCCTCTTGCTGCACCTCTTGTCCCTTGGAGACTGGGAGGGTGTGTGTATGGAGGGTGGGATGCAGCCTCCCAGCTCTGCACCAAGTCATCACAAAACCCCCACTGAGCCTGAAAGTCACCCCTGCACAGCCTCTTTTCCCTAAGACCCCCCTCCGCCCACCAACTCCAAGGGTACGGGGGAAATGGATGCACACCCACCCTGCTCCATCCAGCTCCCAAATGCCAAAGCCTCATAACTCACTGGGTACTGGGTAACCCAGCCGACATCTGCCAAGCCCGCCACTCTACTTCACATCCTTCTTCTCATTTCTTTTCTTATTCATCCCTCCATTCTTTTTTTTTTTCTTTTTTCTTTGTTTTGTTGTTGTTGTTGTTTGTTTTTGAGACAGAGACTTGTTCTGTCCCCCAGGCTAGCATGCAGTGGTGTGATCTCGGCTCACTGCAACCTCCGCCTCCCAGGTTCAAGCAATTCTCCTGCCTCAGCCTCCCAAGTAGCTGAGATTACAGGCGTGTGCCACCATGCCCAGTTAAATTTTTTGTATTTTTAGTAGAGACAGGGTTTTACCATGTTGGACAGGGGCTGATCTCAAACTCCTGACCTCAAGTGATCCACTTGCCCCTGCCTCCCAAAGTGCTGGGATTACAGGCATGAGCCACTGCGCCCAGACTTCACTCCTCCTTTCTTCTGTCTGGGATCCATTTGATTCATTTCTTCAACATATGAGAGTTTTGTGTTTGCTTTTATTTTGAGCTAAAACGTATCACCTGAGGCTGTGAATGGTGCAGATAGGGTCTTATAATTCTTACATTCTAAAAGGGGGAGCAGGAAAGAACACTTGAAGACAGTATGGGGCCAGGTGCGGTGGCTCATGCCTGTAAGCTCAGCACTTTGGGAGGCTGAGGCGGGTGGATCACTTGAGGTCAGGAGTTCGAGACCAGACTGGCCAACATGGCAAAACCTCGTCTCTACCAAAAATACAAAAAATTAGCTGGGCATGGTGGCAGGCACCTGTAATCCCAGCTACTTGGGAAGCTGAGGCAGGGGAATCACTTGGACCCAGGAGGCAAAGGTTTCAGTGAGCTGAGATGGCACCACTGCACTCCAGACTGGCCACAGAGCAAGACTCCATCCTCCCCACTGTCCCCCAGAAAGGAAGGCATTGTGGAATGGATTTTGGACAGTGAGGATGTCCAGAAAAGAACGTTCACCCACGCAGTAGGTCCAGCAGTTAAGAAGATCACTTAGCTTGAGTGGCATGAGGGCTAATGTATGGGATAACATAGCTAGTCGAGGTGACCAGTTGTCTGTAAAACACTAGTCTAAATGTTGCTAGAAATGTATGTTATATTTCTTTATTTTTTGTCATTTTTTTCTTTCCTTTTTGTTGAGAATGGGGTCTGTTGGAAATAGATGCTCGGTGCCACAAAGAAAAATTAGCACTGAAACAAAAGATCTTTCAGCAACACAATTTTTACTTCCTGGACTGCAGGAAGTGTACCCTCCCTAGCCATCATGCCACGAGAGTACAATGAACAAAGGAAAAGCAGACAAATTTATCCCTTATGCACCTGGGGTTGTCCTTACTGCTGTGTCTGATCCCCATTGGCTGAAGCTAGACCTCACAATCTAAACTAAAACCCGATTGGCTAATAATTAAAACTTTTCTAAACAGGTAAAAGCAATGGAGAGCTGGGACATGCCTGTGAGCACATCCAGCACAGACATCTTGGTTAAAGTACAAGGACATAGAATGTACTAAGTGCCTGTAAGCATGGCATGTCTAATAGCTACATAGGACAGGGCTTAACAAAATTATTAGCACGCTTATTTCTTTAGCAAGAAAGGAAACTTAAAAAAGGACCTTTTCTACTTCCCACAGGGTCTCACTATATTGCCCAGGCAGGTCTCAAACTCCTGGGCTCAGACAATCCTCCCCACTCTGCCTCCCTAAGTGCGGGGATTACAGGTGTGATCCACAACACCTGGCTAGAAAGATATTTTTCAGATGGGATTCACATCAACAACCACAGCTGACTTTCAGTACAGGAGATGAGCCTTGGTAATGTGAGTGGGCCGCATCTGATCAGCAGAAGGTCTGAGGAGTAAACACCAAAGTTTCCTGCAGAAGGAATTCTGCCTTAAGGTGGTGACCCAGAAATTCTGCCTGAGTTTCCAGCCTTTAAGACCGCAGTATCACCTCTTACCTGAGCCTCCAGCGTAACTGGCTTGTCCTGTGGATTTCAGACTTGCCAGCCATGATCGT